AAGTTTATCCACAGAAGCCACTGGAAAGGGAATCGCCTTTGATGTCCTAATGCATAGGGGAAGAATTCATCTGCGTGTAAACGAGGCTCAAAGTGCTGATAGAAAGCAAGTAGAAACGTGGGGGAAAGGCCATTGGTGGTGTCAGCTGGAGTCATTGGGAAGGCATGAGTGAGAGGGATAAAAACAAGTGAATTGGCTGGGTGACCCACAGCCCCCGCAGCCCCGCCCCCCACCCCCCAGGCCCTCCCAAGCCCCGCCCCCAGCCCCGTAGCCCCCCGCCCCAAGTCCCCCTCATCCCCCTGCACCAGCAAGGAGCCTGGGTGCTCAGCTGCCATTGAGTGGAGGGAAAAACATACTGCTTGGTCTCCAAAATGCGAACCTAGGAGTCTTGACTCAGTGAGGGAAATAGAAGCATGAATGGCATATCATCAGGGAGGGTGCCCCCACCCCTAGTCGACTGCTCGAGGAAGGAAGACTAGAACACCATGCAAACATGCCAGAGACTTTAATAAAAAAAAACAAACAAACAAACAACAACAAAAACGAATAGAAAAGTGCAACAGTTTACAACTCTACAACAGCTGATGGTTTTCCTGCAAAGACATGTAAAATATGCACAGCTTTCTTAACTGCATTTGTTGTTATAAAAGAAAGAAGAAAAGGTACAGTCCTTGCATAAGATACATATGTTACATGAGCTAGACGGCTACTAAGATGTGTAAACATTAGTGATACAGGTTTGTCTTTTCAGGTTTCAGGTAAAGCTACATAATAAATGCATCTGATACAACTGAGGGGTGGGGTTCTAAGGCCTTTGGTGAAGCTGCTCTCTCTCCTGAAGGCTGACACAGGGCACAGGCAGGAGTGTAGACGACTCCGTAGCTGGGCAGGGGTCGCCGCGCTGCTCTTGCCTCTTCCGTTGAAGGTTTCCGCCAAAGGTCTGGATTCTGTGTTGAACCTGTCATGCAAATATATCCACCACCCCTAGGGCAAAAAGGTGGGTTCCCACCAGGGCTCCAGATACACCACCCCGGGGCTCCCGACACACTGTGCCACCCTCCTGGAATGCGACAATGCCCAGAGAGTCCTTCAACCTCATTTCCCGTGGAACTCTCAAGGGTTTCACCGCCCTTCCCACAGGGGCATTCTACCCAGCCTTTGGCAGACTCACTTTCAAAAACAAACCTGGGTACTCAAAATGTACTTCACCACACGAAAACATTCAAGGACAAAAGAGAAAGCATTAGATCTAAAGGTACCCAGTGAATCTGCTCATTATGTTCATGTATTCTCTCTCTCTCTCTCTCTCTCTCTCTCTCTCTCTCTCTCTCTCTCTCTCTCTCTCACGCGCGCACACACACACTACATGAGGGCCCATATCCCCAAGTCCCCACCTTCCCACACCCCCCCACTCCCCACCATAAAACCTGTGTACACAAACCAGTTGTTTTGACAGAGGTGCATTTGACACTAATTCAAGCTCCGTGACTATACCTGGGGTCACAAATAACAGGTGTTTTGTCTCTTTGCTTTTGGGCTGGTTTTGTTTTGCTGTCACAAGGTACACAGATACTCACTGAGATGAGGTTAAGCGAGTACAGCTATGAGGGGAATGTTCTACCGTTTCTTAACCTCCTAGGAATAGGCTAGACAGTCTTCTTCCCGTCTTTATCAACTGTGTGGTAAAAAATTCAGTTCATTGCCTTTGACATCCTCATCTTCTGTGTGATTGTAAACCTATCTCTCAATGTATGGGGGAATAACGAAGTTTCTTAGATTCCCCCCAGTGGGAACTACGTGACTTCTGATGCAAACTTTGTTCAGCAGAATTCACAGGGTATGCCCTCAGCACAGTGTCTGCGTGGTGGAGGTTTCTGATAAGGCAGAGGACGGGGCTAAGATGACCTCAGAAGGGCCTTCCCAACCCCAAACCAGCTGTCAAAATGCTATTTGTGGCCTGAACAAAGAATCGTATAATTAGCCCTTTTCTGGGATATGTTCTTCTCCGAGGAGCCATCCAATTACAGAGAAATCTTGTTAATTGTGGGTTCTGCTTCATTGGGTTCCCACTCACTGCATTTTTCCCCGTTTCGTCTGATTTTTATTTTTCTACCCAACTCTTCAAAGTTGCAGCTTGGAAAATAAAAATGAAAACAACTGCCAAGGGGCAGCCATAGCTCCTTTCTCGGCTCCCCAAATGGGCAGTAAGAGCTCACACATCTTGGAAGCGTGTGGTCCACTGAACTCGTGAGGCCAGGGAGGGCCTTGCCCATGGAGCTCTCTAGCAGAGTTGCTCCGCCTGATCTCTGAGTGACAGTGGGACCAGGGGGTGGGACTGTGCCACCCTCCCTAGGTGAAGAAAGGTAAGGAGCCATTAAGAGAAGGAGGGCTTTGGTTGACTGTGAAATGTCCCATCCATAGCCTTGCCATTGTTCAAGGGAAATAAAGAAAAAAACAAAAACAAAACCCACTGGTTTGGTGATAAAACTTGGTACAGACCAGTTCTTTGGTGAAAAGTCCATAATGCAACACAACCTGGGAAAGGAGAAGTCCCTAAGAGAGGGCAGTTGGGCCATTCTTGGGAGTCTCACACCATCTTGAAAGGACTTGACCTAGTCTCTCCTCTGACCTCTTCTACCAAATGCCAGCAAAGAGCTAGGGTGCAGTGATAGGAATTTCATCTCCTCTGTACCAGTGTGTGCCCAAGAGACACCGCTTCTGGGCCAGCCATTCCATCCGCTGTAGAGGAGGATGAGAAATGACTTGTCAAGGCCCTATGACCCAACTGTATATAAGGAAGAAAGGGAAGTCAGGGCTGGTTCTTAAAAAGATGCCCAGGGTCCCCCTCTACCCACTGCCCAGCAATCTGAAAAAGGCAAGCCAACTGTTTTCAGATCTAAAGTTGTGCCTAAAGTTCACAAGACCCTCCCTCACCCCACCTCACACTCCAAATTGAGCATGTTCTCTGGATACCAAGCCTCCCCTGAACTGGATTGGAGCCTCCAAAGAGGCCAGGACCCAAGAGCAAATGGGAAACTATAAATCCAAATGTACCATGTAACTCAAGCTCCGTCCTCTTCTTCCACATCCCTCCAGACCATAAGCTGTCCCCCAACATAGCCCTTCACGTTGGCTGTCACCGTGATGAAGATACAGTGAAAGAAAGAAAGCCCATCCCTCCCACTGTCCACCTTCGTGTCTCCACACAATTTCAGACAAAACCAAGGTACCATTTGGGGTCAATTTTCCAGCCCCATGTTCTTAGAAGGTCGGTTACATCAGCATCTGCAGGATGAGGCTCTACCTTTACCCTTCCAGAACCATTCTTGGCTAGAAGGACATAACTGAGCATTTCTATGTTCAAAGTCACCCTCAGGTCTACCTCTCAGGAAGGGTCACCTGACAGGGTCACACAGTGTTACTGGAGGGGTCCAGCAGAATCCCTTTGTCCTGTGCAGGTGGCAGTCACTTTCTGCCATGTGCATGGGCCTGCTGGCCACCCTTTATGCCAGAGAACTCAATACCGTAGGTCCCAGGTGTGTCCTTCAGGATCCATTGATATGAAGATGATACCTGAAGACAAATGTCTACAAGGTTAATAATGACAGTTGCGGGCTTAAACAGCACATGGTACCCATCTCTTAGCATCTGTTACTAATGAAGGAAAAGGAGGTTTATTCCTGGCACCAGGTACATTCCTGGAAGTTTCTCCACTCCATTAGGAATCCATGCAAAGCCTCCTCCCCAGGGTGAGCCCCACCCATGTGACTTCTTCACAGGTCACACCCCCTCCCTCCTTTTTTTTTTTTTTTTTTTTTTTTGAGCTGTGCCCCTGTATGATTGTCTGTGTTTGAGTCCTCCCCTCCACCCCACTTCAGTACCAGCCCTCTGTGATCCTCAGACACCTGGCTTGGAGATCCAGTCTTGCAGCTTTCCTGAGCCTTGTCAGCCACCTGCTGAACAGAAGAGCTCTGGCTGCCCTCCTGCCCTGCACCAACGCCACTGCCAGCAGCAGGGCATGGTCGCACAACAGGGCGTGATGGTTCATCTGTACAGTGTTGCACCAGAACGGGGCTGGGGTTACAGTTGCAGTTGTTGTTGAATCCCAACAACAACTAGTTGATCTGAAGGGAGATGGGCAAACCACGGGCACATACTTTCCCAAGGGCGAGGCAGGTGCTCAGTAAACATTCGCACGTATTGTACTTCTCGTAAGCACCCTGTGCAGTGGGAGCTGCCTAGAACCCCAGTGCGAGAGTGGGGAAATTGAGACATGACACGGAAGGGTAAATCCACCACCCATCTGTGAATGACCGAGGCTGGCCCCAAGCAGCTGTCACCACACCATACCGCTTGGGGGAGGAGGGGAGAGGGACCAAGAAGTGGGCATTCTTGTCTCTCTCAGGGTCCCAGAGACCATTGCGCATGATCTCCCCAACCACCCTACATCCCTCGAGAAATTGACACTGCCCCCCACCTGATTCCCTTGTGATATTCAAATCACCAGACCCACCCACTACAGGGAGAAACATCCCAGCATGCTTCTGTAGTCTGAAGATGTACCCACTCACCAAAGCTGTAGTGCTTTGCTGTGGATATCCCATGATCTTATTGCTAATGGCGCACTCAACCCCCCAGGCGCATGCAATTGACTATTGAGCAACGCAATGCAATGCAAACCAGGATTTGGGTTGCTTCCAGGGATTTGCATTGGAATACCCCATGTCTACTTCAGCCAAATAACTCATGCTTGGACCTGCTTTATTCTTGGGCTTCTCCCCCCCACCCCCACCCCGTGAGTGCTTTCTAACTCTCTGTCCCTAAGGAGGCTGACCCATGGGAAATTTGCTTCTCATTATGTTCAGCCATGAGAAACAAACATAGAGGAACACAGAGGACAATGTTAAGTCCACGGGGGAAGCAAAAAGGGCAGGAAAGACTTTGAAGGGAGGACCAATATGTTCCATCTTTACCTCCATGCTGCTAAGCAACATGGAGCCCCTCCAGGAGGACAAGAAGAGGTCACATGGCCATAGCAGGTACATCTCATGGGTTGGAAGGGAAAGGACTGTGCTCTAGAACATAACAGAGCAAGTATCTCAAAGACAGAGGTAACATATGTAGCCCTTGATGGCCAGGGCAGTGACATGACAATAAGTCACACTTCTATGGTATTGAATGGGGAGAGAGTTTGGTGGTCATCGCCACTCATGAGGTTGCTGCTAGGTGCCAAGGTGGCCCAATAGATTTGCAGGCAAGGGACCCTACAAGGACCATGTCTCTGTGCCTTCTGTCTAGGTATACTGGGCCGTTCCCACAGGTCTTTAGGGGAAAGGGTGCTGACACTCGCCCCACGTGGAAGAGGTCCCCGGGAGAGGTCAGAAATCCGAAGCCTGCTTGGGCTTCACAGTGAGACCCAGCATCCATGGACGCCTCTCTTGAAGATGCAGTTAGGTCCCCTAACAGAGGAAAACAATATTTATTATGACTTATTTATTCACAACAAAAGCAGTAACCACAGAGGTCCCCAGAGAGACAAACATCAAATGCATAAATCAGGGCTAAACAACATTAACTACATTTTTTTTTTTTTTTTTTTTTTTTTTTTTTTTTTTGTCAACAGTTCTTCAAACCAAGGGAACAAGCAGACAACAACAGCAGGTCATAAGCACTCTACAAGACTACGGGCCTGGAGTCCTCAAAAATACCAATTATCAAGAGACACAAACACAGTGAGGGAGATGCCCTCAATTGGGGGTTTAGGGAGCAAGACAAGCAGGTGTGGGGTGTGATCTTGGATAGTGTCTTGGATTCACAAACAAGCTCAGTAGGACATTTTAGGGACACTTGGGGAATTATACAGATTATATTCCTATATTAGATGTTCCTATACTAAGTTTCTTAGGTGTGACAATGGCACTACTATGTGAGAGAATGCACTTTTCATGGGAAATATACAATGTTATCTTTGGCTGAACTACCTAAAAGCTGTAGACATCATGACCTTATCTTCCAACCATCTCAGTGTTGAAGGGGGTAGGTACTGAGGCTGGGGTTCTGGGTAAAAGGTCTAGAAAGCCCATGGTGTTGTTTTATCAACTTTTCTGTCACCCTTGGATTTTTTTTCAAAATTGGTGTCTGGAGATCCTGATCATGGACTTGTTTTCCTGAAGCAGCAACCTCTACCAACATGTGGTCAAGATGGACCACAGAAAGTCAATATAAGCCCAGCACTGTAGGGAACCATGATGCATTACACCTTGTTCCACATAATGATCAATGCTCTATGCCTGCACTGTGTCTCTTTGCCTTCCCAGCTCTCCATCTCCCACCACAATTTTGGCTGGGTCAGTCTTCAAATGTGACCAGATCATCCAAGTCAAAGGTCCTTGTGCGAAAAGCTCATCTTGTGCTAAGTGCCTCCTAGATCTCGACCCTCACTGTGTCATCATGTCGAAGAGAAAGCTACAGAGGCTCAAGGAGTGAAATGACTTCCAAGAGGCCAGTGACGCAAGACCGAAGAACCATTCCCTGTCCTACTACTCTTTCCTCACCTAGGATGCTTCTCAGGTCCTGAAAAGACCTTGACTCTGGAGGAAACTCCATCTCAGATGTGTGTGAAAGTCATAGCCACTTTCAGGACTAAGCCGCAATTAACAGCAAGCTTGGAGCTGGCAGGATGGACACATTCTAGCATAAATCTCAGATCTCTTACCTCTGTGACACTCTCAATGAGTCTGAATTAGGACTCAGTGTTTTAGAAAGAGCATGTGGAGATGAGGCTGGGAGCCCCCCATGATGGGTGATCATTTTCTGATCTCTCTCTTTCTCTCAGAGCACACAGACAAGGAAGTTTCCAAGGAGCCCTCATTCCTCTAGATTCAGGCTAAAATAGTTTGGCACTGGGACTCAAGATCCATATAGCTTTCATATCAGGATGAAACTGATTAAAACAATGACCTATCTCATCTCACCTGTGTGCTCTCCAGATGTTGTCTCCATCAGGAGCACAGGAAACACACAGGTGTGTCCATCTACGATGACCATGTTGAGTGCTGGCACTCCAGTCAGTAAATCACCTGTCATGGCTCTCACCGCCTTCCCAAGAGAGTGATAGACTGCATTTTTGAGCATGGGATTTCTGGTCTTAGGAACTGCTGCCCTGGCCTCCAGGCTAAGTGGAACAACCAGAAAGCATGGATCTGGTTCCAGTTTGAGCCTCACAGAGAATCTCAAAAGTCAGAGAGGGTGATTCCCTCTGATGTTCAAAGTCTAATAGGCTAATGGGTGAGACAGCACCTTCTTCCTGGGATGGGTACCTTTAAGGGTAAAAAATGGGATCAACACTAGCAATCGGCAAGCCCAGAGCCCTGGGTTACTCCATAGCACTGTCTACTTCTTTCTGTCCTCGATGAAATAAAGATGGAGATCACTTAGTGAAGAGTTCAAGTGAGTCAGATATCTTATTAAGTATATACAAGGCAAAGTAACTTCCAGGAACTGGACAGCAAGCCAGGCTCCAGTTCCTGAAGCTGAATCCCTTATGCAAACAACCTAACATGAGGTTATCTTTCTTGCTATTGAAGGGGTTTGGTTAACTGGAGGGAAGGTTACAACAATCACTTGGCTGAAAGAAGTTGTCAAGTTAAATGAGAGAGGGAGAAAGACCTTGGCCAGAGACATAACACAGTCCAAGAGGAGGATATCTTTGGAATGCTGTGCAGAACATCAACAAAGCAGCCAGGACAATAGCAAAACAAAGTGTGAAGACCTATATTCTGGACACATGACCTTACGTATGTTGACCCTCCTGAATCTCAGTCTCCTCTTCCTAAAATGAGGGAACCAGTGGTGGATCCCTCTGCCTGGAGGCTCTCGGCCTCTACTAATGGGTTCTTCATGGGAGTGACCCACTCCCATCTTTCCAAGAGGAAAGTTCTTTAGAACTTGACTTCTCCCTGCCCTCACCCCAAGGGAACACATCACTGGATGTGCCCAAAGAATAATCTCACCAGGTTCCCTTCTAAGGAAAAAAAAAAAAATGGGTCATTTGAGAAGATCCACTCACAGGAAGGTAAGCCAAGATTCATTCCCTCCCTCTACACTCTTATGTTGGGCTTGAAAGAGACAACTTGGTGCCCTTCCTCCCAAGGCTGAACTGGCAATAAATAGCTGAAGACTTGGGAGGGGTTACAAGAACAAATTCACTCTACAAATCTTTATCTTGCAGAAAGTGGGGGTGGGTCAGCTATGTGAGAATACAGAAGGTGTTGTCTATACTTCTACAGGAAGAGGGGATCTCCCTGCCACTTTTCACAGATACATGAGTGGGAAGCCAGCTCTGAAGATAGGCTGAGCCTATGTCCCTGTGATTTGACTCCTGGGCTTAACAACTGGCCCTGTGGAGACACAGGGCAGGGTCCGTCCTCCACTGGAAGGCTGAGCCAGGAAACCTTGGTGTCGGGGAGTCCACCTTCTAGATCCTTCTGAGTAGGGTCTGAGAGTGGACCCTTGGGTCTCACAGTGCCTCAGCGCCATATATAGATGAGAGGTGATCACACAACCTGCCCCCCATTTGAGGGCAAATCTTACAACAGTTTCCAGGGGGATTCCTACATGTGTTCCAGGAAGCCTCCTCCGAGGCATGAAGTGCTCTGCATATAGGCATCAGGATTGTCATGCCTGTGACCCAAAAGAGTCAACAATCTCTTTGCAGAGCAAAAAAGCATTCAAGAAGAGTGATTGTTCCTATTCTCTGGACAGACGAGAACCCTGTGCAGGGCATTCCGTAGGACAAAATCTCAAACAAGTGATCTGATAAAGACCTTGGAGTTTGTTTATGTCAGCTTTGGCCAAGAGAGTGTAAGGTTCACAGACTCCTTTCGAAGGTCCCGTATCCTAGACGAAGGGGGGGATTTCAACAGGGGTTGTAGCATTTAGTGCATGCATTGACTTTCCAGAGGAGTCCTGGATGCTCCTGGTTTCAGCCCAGTGGCACACATGCTTGGGACTGGTGGCATTTGGATGCTGTGTCCTTTAAGAAATCTTCAAGACCAGTAAGTGCGTTCCTGGTGCGTGCGTAGTGGAGCCAAAGCCCATTCCCATCCAAAAGCCAGGGACTTCCAGTGTACAAAGAAGGGGTGGAAGGATGAGTGAGGAGATGACAGGATGGCAATGAGGGGAATTAGAGGCTGAGCTGCCCCCGCGATTGAAAGCGCCTACATACCATGTGCCATATACTCTAGCCTAAGCTGTCCCCTAAGGGGTTACCCTTCATTTGAGAGTGGGGAAGAATTTCTCCACTACCTAGATAGACAAAAGCATCTCCTGAGATAGGCAATTTCCCAGTAGGCCAAGATACAGCCTCTAAACTCTTCCTGAGACCAACATGAACTTCTCCCTATTTATAGAGCAATTGTATTTAGAGAATCTTCCCTAAAATATATATATATCTCTCTCTCTCCATATATATATATGTATATATATTTAAACAAGGAATACCCTGTCACTTTGTTATTAGGAAAAGAAACCACATTGCCACTCTGATACCCATTCTCATCCAAGCATTCCAAAACTAGGACTCTTATCCATGCGGGTAGAGACTTCAGACTCATCACCGTCATAGTCATCATCGTTAGGAAAGAGGGGAATAATAAAATAGATACTCTTGGGTCCCAACAATGTTCTTGTTTACCCCGACAACTACAGCCGCAGTTGGAACTGTTGGAACTGGAGATGCTGAGATTAAAAACGTCTCGAGTAAGCTGACGCTGGTGGCTTTTGGCTTACTCCTTTGCAACCTTTGCTTCCTTGTGTTCAATGATGCATACCAGTTCCACAAAGTACGTGCTTCTCAAGATGTAACTTTAAACTGGAAAGCTAACCTGATCCCTGTGGTCTTGCCCACCTACACCCTAAAGAACAGTGAATGGCATTCAGAAGCCAGCCATTTGAAACTATGGCCATGTGATATGTCGTGGGTCCAAAAGTGCTTTTATGGGATGTGCTCAATTTGGCAAGGCGATGAACCTCGCAGGGTTTAGTTTGTTTGGAAGCAGCCTCAAGGAGACTGCTGGTGAAACTGTATGAGTGAGAAGGGACGTGCATACCTGATACTTTCCACCTTGTCGCACAACACACCTGCACACAGAAGCACACATACTCATTTTGCACATTCGCACATACAGCCACCCAGTCCTTGGGGAAGAACAGAGGAGTTAGGTCAAAGACATCACTACAGGGAGGCAGTCAAAGGCTTCGGGTTGGGCATCATCCTCTCAGCTCTGTCTTGGTGACCTTGTTCTCATACCTGTGCTAGGAAAGCCATCCCAGAGAGAGGAGGCAGGGTAGGGAGAAATGTAAGGTATAGGTCTGCTGGGGAGAAAGCAAGGAATCCATGCTTCATGCTCAGATGCGAGTTTCAGAGAGGATTTGGGCCTCTATTTCCCCTTTGGACAGCTCTGCCTGGCTGGAAAGGTGGGAAAGAAATGAAACCAGGAAAGGAGGGAAGAAAGGAATGATGGTGACTATAATCACAAAAAAGAGTAATAATAAATAAGGAGGGAGAAGAGGAGTTGGGCCAATGGAACTTACATCTGCATGACAAATGACTCTTCTGCCTACTTCCCTCCCACACTTAGATGGACTTGCGACGGAGGGCCAGCCTGTGATTCTCTTCGCAGGCGTGTATCCCGTGAATGATGGTGCCAAATGGGGTCTGGAAACAGGTGTGCTTCAGTGTGTTTGGGGAGAGCTCTTGAATTCTGCAGGAAATGGAGTGGACAGTAGCCTGGACATTCCTGGTACCCGCAGCAGAAGCAGGAGCAACGACAGCAACATCTTCAAGGACATCATCATCATCATCATCATGGATGCAGATACCGCGTGGGAAGCAGAGAAAGCACAGGGTCCTGCCGTATCTCTTCAGGAAGGACTGAGCATTGAACCTATGGCGGCCGTTTGGAATACGGATGATCACGCTGTTTGGGTTTCCAGCAAGTATCTGCGCAACTTCTCCCTCCAGCAGCTCCTCATCAGTGTTCATGGTCAGGAATCGCAGGACCACAAGATTGAGAAAGGCACCGATGACGGTCAACCCCACCAGGATATACATGAAGCTGAAGGCCACGTAGAAAGGCTTCCTCTGCAGGGCACCTTTGGACTGCAGGGCCACAAAGTCGCCAAATCCAATAGTAGTCAGTGTAATGAAGCAGTAGTAGTAGGCGTGAAAGAAGCTCCAGTCCTCGCAGTGGGAGAAGGCAGCTGCCCCAAGGCACAGGGTGCCCATGCAGGAGAAGAAGCCGACGGTGACCATGTTTTCCATAGAAACATCAGTGTTGCGCATGCCACAGCACTTCTTGAAACGCTTCAGCAGGCAGCGCACGAAGGTGTTCATGCGCTCGCCCAGGCTCTGGAACATGACCAGCGTCAGGGGGATGCCCAACACAGCATAGAACATGCAGAAGGCCTTGCCAGCGTCTGTGCCGGGTGCAGCGTGCCCATAGCCTACGGGAAGGAAAAGAAGAATGGGGACAGTAGTCAGGAAAAGTTCTGTGAGGTTCGGGAATAAAGATGGGAACGTCAAGCGTTTCTAACAGTGAGGAGACTAGGGCATAGAAAGGCAGAAGTACCAGTTCAAAAGTCCCATGAGCACTGGGGTAGGAGGGGTTTGCAGAAGGGTCAGTACAAAGGGATTTGGCGTGCAGATTAAGCAACTCTAATCTCAAAATGTAAAATATAAATTTCAACAGAACCCAAAACTTCCATTTTGTGACTGTCTCGTGCAATCCAAGCTAACTTCAAACTCGTGTAGATGAGGCTGCCCCTGAACTCTTGATCTCCTCTCCCTTCTACCCTGGATCCTCCACCTTCCAAGTGCTGGGGTTATAGCATGTTTTCCATAGAAACATCAGAGTTGCACTCTCGAAACTTTTGGAGTATTAGCATGATGTGACAAATAGAAGGTCCCATACAGTGAAACTTTGAGCTGGATCTAAAGTGCTTGCATTTACACTGGAGTACTTCTCCGGAATAGTTCATCATATAGATACAAATATCCCCAGATCTGAAAATACCCCAAACCCCAAGCACCACAATGAGTAAGAACATTGTGAATAAGTGATGTTTATTAGCCTTAACTACCAAACCACCTGGAAGGCAAAGAAGACTTCCTTGAAAAAATTATCTCTTGTAATAGGTTGATATCTAAGAGGCTGAGGCTGTGGTTTGATGTCTAAGAGGCTGAGGCTGTGGTTTGATGTCTAAGAGGCTGAGGCACGGCCATGTTCTTAGAGGAACAGCATATGTACCACTAAGAAAATTACCAAAGTACAGAAGCTCAAGAGAGAAAACGGAACCTCCCTACCACGGATCCACATAAAGGGTGAACTCTGAAAGAGCAGACACTGTGTGCCAGCTGACGCCCCCTCTGCCTAACTGTAGAATGACCCTAGTCAATTAGGCTAGTGACTCCAAGCCCACAAACAAGAAAGGCAGTGATTGACTTAGCAGGGTAACTAACCTGACATCTTCAGAACGGGGGCGGGGGGGGGGGGGTTGAGCCTCGTATGTTGAGAGAACGAAGCTAAAAACAAGTATTTAAATTGGGAGAAGCCAAGAAGCCATGGCGGAGCTGGGGGAACTTGATTTTGTTCACTTTGTTCATTGCTATCTGCCACACCTAGTCAGTGCCTCAAAGGTGAAAAGCTGGTCTGGTAATGGGCTGTAATCTTGTATCAAAAGTAACCTTGGTATAGAGGGAACACATAGCACTCAAAGACCTTAGTACCTATTGGTTCTAGTTCAATATTGCCCAGAAAGAAAAAAAAAGTACACCATGAACAGTGTTTTAAGGCTAGAACTCATCTCCTAACCCTGCCCCGTCAAGGAAGGTGACATTTTTGTTTCCCCAAGCCACATGCTCATGATTACCTCATCACCTGTATTATGTTATTCCCCGGAGAATCTCTGTCAGCTGACATGTGGAATGATGATGTTTCCAGATGGATTGTTGGCAGATCTTCTGAGACCAGGAACATAATAGGAACCTACCAAACTCAAGTCTCCCTCCTCCCCGTTTGCAGTCCATATTCACTTGTCTGCTACAGTTCATGGTCTCTCCAGAAGACCTGGCTTCATTCTCTATGGCCCCCAACCCCTCTATCCCAGCCAGCACTGAACTCTGTTGCCTCACATACCCATCATCCCTTGCAAGGTAAAATAAATGACATGGCACAAAGTTAGAACCAGGCCAGAGAGGTTAAGAGCTGGGAGACAGAAAAGCAGAGAAGGACTGCAATGTATAGTTTGATAGAAGTCAGCCATTGTGAAGAATGAAGAGAGAAAAAGTTTGAAAGACACAAGGTACAAAGCCTCAGGAACCTGGAGATATCAAAAAGATGTTCTAGGAAAGAAAGATAAAATGAAAACGGAAGAAATGATGGCTCAAATCGACCACATTTTGTAAAAAAACAGATTGACAAATTCAATAATCTCTGCAAACTCTAAATACGGTTTTTTAAAAAAAAGGCACATATCAGCTAAGTGATAAGAGAGCTAGAGAGGCCTGCTGGAAGAAGGCAAGCAGAGAGAAAAAATGATACAAATACTATGGAAACAACACCACTTAGACTACTGACTTCTTCTAATCATAAGCAGTAGAGGTCAAGAAGCAATTGGAGCCATGTCAGTGCAGAGTCAAGGGAGGAAAACCATTAACTAAGAATTCTACAGCCAAGAGGGGAAGAGGAAAACATGAGGGATCAGGAAAATTGAGTTGAGGGATGGATAGAAGAGAGCAAGTAAAAGAGATGCCTTAATAGAGGGAGCCATTATATAGGTTTAGAGAGAAATCAGACGTTAAGAAAATGTCTAGAAATCCACAAGAAAGACCCTAACTAAGAATCTAAGCAATAATGGAGGGGCTACCTTAAATGCCCTTCCCCTATAATGAGAGTGATGACTGCCTTAAATGCCATAACAGAGCCTTCATCCTGTAGCTCATGAAACCAGAAGCAGATATTCACAGCTAAGCACTGAGGTGAACTCCTGGATTCCAGTTACAGAAAGGGAGGAGTGATAAGAAAAGGGGTCAAGACCAGGTTGGAGAAATCCACAGAACCAGCTGCCCTGAATAAGGGGGAGCTCATGGACCCCAGTCTGATAGCTGGGGAACCAGCATAGGACCAAACCAGGCCTCCTGAGTGTGGGTGACAGTTAGGAGTTCTGGGCAGTTTATGAGGCCTCTGGCACTAGTGTTTATTCCTAGTGCACAAATGGACTTTGGGAGCCTATTCCTCATGGAGGGACACTCTCCCAACCTAAATACAAGGGGAGGGCCTAGGCCCTGCCCCAACTGATGTGACAGACTTTGATTCCCTGTGGAAGGCCTCCCCCTCCCTGGGGAGTGGGATGGGGGAGGGATGGAGCCAGTGGGAGGTGTGGAAGTATGGGAGGGAGAGGGAACTGGTATTGATATGTAAAATAAATTGTTTCTAATTTAAATTTAAAAAGGAGGGGGAAAATCCATGTCCAAAGGAGACAACCTTTTCAAGGGTGGAGAATTCAACACCATCAGATCTTCACAGGACACTTATCAGAGGAGGAGACTCTACCCAAAAGAAGACACCAGGAGGAAATCTGGGTCTTCGGCAAGGGGGGAGGGGAGTGAATCATGTGTAGTAAATATAAAACACCCAGGCAGGAGTCCTACTCCTCCGAGGAGCTCACCTGCATACCAGACATCAAAGCCAGATGGGGTGGAAAGACAGGGGGCTCTTGGGAACTTCAGTAAGCACCTAGCAGTTCTACATGTGGTATATTTAACGGAGGAAATCAACACAGCACCATACAGGTCAAAAGCTGTGAGCTAGGTCTCGCCCCCCCTCCATCTGTCGCTCATGTTCAAGTCTAGTTCAAAGGGTGCTTCCGAAGCCTCCAACAGAAGCCTTTACTTATTTGTTTATTTGTTTATTTTTCATTTAGGCAAGGTCCCTCTCACTCTCTAGTATAGTCAGTCTGGCCTGGAACTCACTACATAGCTTTGCCTCGAATTGTCACCCAAGTGTTTGGAGGGCAGGCATGAGCTGCTACTGCAAGCATTCCGAAGCCATCTTTGAATTCTCACGACAATGCATGCAGACTGGCCTCGTAGTCAAGGTTGGCACTTGAAGCAGGCCAGTTGGGCTTGAGCCCAGACTGCCACCTTAGAGACAACAGTCAGGATCCTCCATCCCCCAGCCTCATTCTTTTGTTTATCATGTTTACTGTGACTGTCCAGGGCCTGGTGCCTGGTGCCAGGTGAGGGTGCCATGCTACCTCCTCCAGCTGCCCAGCATGGAGAAGGCAGCGGTATTGGGGAATTTGATACTGGAAAGGAATGACAGACAGAGTTTTATCACAGTAGGGATTAAAGCACAAATCCCCAATGAAGGATGACTCAGGGTGGCTTTGAGATGTGCTGGGGAGGGAGCTAACCTCAGCCCCTTGTGCTTCTGGGATAATTCCCACTTCTGCCCACAATGCAGCCAGCCTCCCATTCCTCCTGCTGAGAGCTCCCAAAATTCTCTAGACCTCACTTCCCTCTCCTGTAAAGAGGACGTGAAGAGACACAATCTCTTTAAGTTGTGTGGCGGTTTTTAGTTTGCTCTCCTGGATTTAGCCTTTCCTTTGGAAGAGAGAGGTGTCTGTTACCACATGCTAAGCAGTCTTATTCACAGAGCCCTCTGTGTTTTGCAGAGGGAAGCTTGGCAGACTGTTTTATATAATGAAAAAGTGTGCACCCCTCTATGTATGTCTCTGGTACCCCAGAGGAATGTGGTCGGCTTCCTGGTCAGTTTCTTTTAACCTTGTGTCTTAAAGGTGCAAAGGAACACCAAATACGTTTTGTTACTTGTAAGTGATTTTTTTTTCCTGGAATGTGGGCAAAGGAAAGGGCTGAGATGGCTTCCGTCCATAAAATGTCTCAAAAACCCTGTCTCGTAGGGCAGCGTGTTAACCCCTGAGGCACCTGTCAACGCCTACACTGTGATGTAAACCCCAAGCCACACATAAAGTTGCCTAGGATGGGACACACTCCAGCCTCCAAATATCTCAGGCTTGGATCCACAGCATCTCCTTACTTTTAAGAATAGCTGGGGCTCCCTATCTTCCTCCACACAAGCTTGCTTTTAAAAGCAGCTCTGGAAATGCTGTCCACAAAGAGCCCACGGGGTGGCGGGATGGTGGAAGCTTTGGCCTATGCGGGTCCTCAGCCACCCACCAGAGGTACAAGGGTGCCCTCTGGCGGGCCATCTATCAATGCAAATCATGAATCGCAGGCACAGATCCCATCTGCCCAGGTTCCCTCACCGGATATGTTCAAGGATCACAGGGGAAACTCACCAAACTTTTTTCACTGACAAAACTAATATTCCACAGTGGGGTTTTCTCTTTGAAAGTACCATCAGTCAACATCATTTGGGCACAGATAAAATATAAGAACAGTAATGAACAGTGTTTATTGAGAG